ACCAAAACAGATGACGAGATTTGACAGGATCGGCCAATGCGCATGCGTATAAAACAGCTGGTACTAGTATCCTAATTTCCTAATAACTTATTTTGCACTCGTACAATGCAAAATACATATTTGATTAGGTTGGTTGGCCATCAAGTACCATCCTATGGCACCCAATTCATATATCACCAATACCATAGTACAGAGTTATGTTAACAACGAGTCACAAATAAGACTAATATACTAAATTTGTATTTAATTAATTGCAAGGATGAGATTACATTGTGAAATGGCCACGATGTACCAAGGATCTGATATGTTTGTTGTATCATTATTACGTAAAGTCTGAAGGTGATACATTCATAGTATGAATATAATGTATTGTGTGAAGGTGATATGTTTGTTGTATCAATATAACGTAAAGTCTGAAGGTGATACATTCATAGTATGAATATAATGTATTGTGTGAAGGTGATATGTTTGTTGTATCATTATAACAAAATGTGGAGGTGATACATACATAATATTATGATAGGGTATGGTATGGTATGAATGTGATCATTTTGTTTAGTATAGTGTAGCGCATTGCACGGCGGTGATAAAAATGCACAGTATAAAGTTATTATTTTGTGGTCTATTCAGATTGGCAGCATGTGTACCATGTGGTTTATATTGTTTCTTCTAGTCGCTACCACTATTTATTAGTAATTAATTCATTGATTGATAATCAAGTATAATTATTATAATATTATTATTATATACTTGGCTGCTAACCTTTGACCCGAGAATTTTACCTGGGGTACCTAGTATAACCTTGCGGTTCACTGCATGCTGGATTACACAGATAGAATAAGATTGTTCAAGTTCACGTCCAAACAGGATGTGAATTTGGAAGCCACATAAGTACTATACCTGAGCAGCGTTTGCCTAACCGAACTGCGGTTGTAATATTATGCTCATGCACTATGTGAATCATTCCCTGTTTTAGTGCCAAAATCAGGGGACCTGAGATTAGTGGTGAATTTATCACCTTTAAATCCATGTGTACATTTGAAGAAGTTCAGAACAGTCAGTTCCGTTCCGGTCAGCGAAACACTATTGTGGCATACCAGTTTCAAGTACTACTGTTTGGCTTCTGTTTGGATGTGAATGATGTCATGAAAGTATTAATATCACCCAAATAGAGGAATATGTCCCACAAGAGACTACTCTGTACACCTCCTGAACATGTGATGAGAGTTCCTAGCTTGATAAACTATCAACAATCACTTGTTGATCAGAGTGTCATTCACCCCAGCCTTCCTGAGCAGTCATGATAATATCAGATGCATCAGGCACAGGATTTGGGCACACATGATGGATCTGCAAACACAGGGACACTTGGATGCCAATCAGTTGGACAGACATATCAAGGAGTTGGAAAGGGTTGGAAGAGGTTCCGTTGGCTCTACAGACTTTTTTGTCAGACATGATGAACAGATCGTTTTTTTGTCAGAAGCGACAACTTGACGACTATGACCTACCCCAACAAAGATGAAGTTACTGAATCTCAATAACTTTCAATCCTCACTTTCATTCCTCATTTAATATGCTCTGTGCAACATTAATTTTGAGAGCAGGGGAGAGTACAGTAATTGACTTACTGTAGAAGTTTAACAGCTCATAGTGGCAGTTCTAGTCAAGGATCAACGTGACACTGTTCGATCTCTGACCAAAGCAAACAATCAACTTCTTCACACACCATTCAAAAACAAGTGCAGTCAAGCATGGGCATGTGAAGCAATCAATGTTCCATAAGACAATCTTGAAGTGTATGCCTTTCCAACTTTTCCAATGATAATGAGAAATGACAATAACACTTTTCTACTTGAGTCAAAGTCAAATCCTTTCCTGTGACCGGTACTCAAACAAGCAACCAGGGAGGATATATATATGACGACCCCAATTTTCCTCAGGTTGGGCCAAAACATTTCAGAGGGATCACCCAATTTCATGACACAATCACTCAGAAACAGTACAATTCGGTTATATGAAGTGAATCATATCTATCCCTCTACTCTTCAATTAGTAGATTTCTTTTCCCATTCGTCAAATAAGGATACATTGGGTAATATCAGAACCACTATCAGCACCATACTTTGCAGTAGCACGTCTGAAATATCACAGAAGACAATTTCTTTAAAGCACTATTCGTGGAACTCCTTTGAACATGTGTGTGTGTGTGTCAGGACCTCATTGAACCTAGTTACTCCATCTTAGACTTTTTCATTAGTATTGGTGTTTCTTCAGCATCAGTTGCAGGCTCGCTCATGTACTGAGGATTTAGCGTTCTTTCAAGCTGACTTAGTCACTTTTAGGGCTAATAACCAGCCAATGATCCACGCTCGATTGAGATCATGTCTAACTACTACTTTTCTTCTAGTATTAGACATTTCTGTAATTCATCCTCCCCATGCTTGGCAAGATATGCAAGTTTTTTCAGGTTCGGTTTGAACTTATATTTCAATTAAATATCATACTGCTGAGACTGTGTACATTGCCCTGTAAGACGATCTTGAACTAGCGTTTCTTGCAAGCTGGGCTTAGTGGGTGGAACTCATCCATTATTTGATTATTAATAAACAAAATTAATTACTAACGAATGTGGGTAGTGACAATATAAACTACAGGGCATTGGCCTCTTGTGTATTAGTCATTCCAAGTCACTCACACTAAACTCTGTACCCCCAGAGCAGCTACCTTCTCAATGATTGCCCTGTTTGGTAGCGAGCTTGATTATATATTTGATTATTAATTAATAAATTAACTACAAACAATTAGTGTGACTGGGAGTAACTGGGAGTAACTAATGAATAAGGGCTTAGTTAGGCCCTGTATACACTTATGAATGTTAAGTTTTTTGATTATCACACAGTTTGTGGCCAGGTCAATGCAAATTATCGCATCTACCAAGAATTAAATAAACACATGTCTTTCAGGATGACAGATAATTGGAGAAGTTTCGGTGTTAGCAGTGTAACCGTCCGTCTGCCATTATAGTCAATGGTGAACATAGTTTCCAGTTTATTTCCTTCCTATAATGATATCTTCTGTGTCAAGTCATTATTACCACGATGGCCAGCAGTTGGAATGTCTACCTCACTGTTTCAAGAAACATATTCGAAAAATTATGATTTTTTCATTTGGTGTGGTGATTTTTATTGTTGGGATGTTGATTTCCACGGACAAAACACTGTATATTGTGGGTATACTCTTAGCAACCTGTGGAAGTATGGCCTGTTTGATTGTGTTGATATCTTGCCTGAAAAACGATTATCTACAGGGAATGTCGTGCAGTGGAGGATTGAACTCGCGGCAACAAAATAGAACTTTGGATATCCCCATGGCAGCAATCTGATTGTTGTGAATACACGTGCTAATCTGGCGGCTGTGATCGACTATAATATACCTGTCATCCTGACCATTGTGAAAGACTTGATAATATACCTGTTGACAATATACCTGTGATGGACTTTATATACCTCATAGTTTGACCATTGTGATTCACTTGAAAATACACCTATCGGTCTGGCCATAGTAATAGACTTTATACAACTATCAGTTCAGTCTGGCCATTGTAGCCACAGTCACTAGGGGGCTGAAAATCAATAAATACTAAAAAAAATGTTTTAAATCATCGGCTATACGCATATAAATAAACAAGTTGTGAAACATGGCACCTAGTAAATCGACACCTTGTCGGTTTCAAATTTCGATTTCTTACCTTAAAATGCGAAACAAAAAGTTTAGAGGGGGTCGGGTGTTACGTTAAAAACCATTGTTCATAATCGCTAACTTGGTTTTATTCAAAACTGCACAAATCCCGCGTTTTCTGATGATATCCGACGATTTCATGAACGAAAATGGCCAGCAGTCAGAATCAAGGGGGATTCGCACAAAGTTCTGGGTAAATCAAGGAAATACTCGCTATTACGGCACGCCTGATTGGCTGAAAATGTGTATGCGTCTGTTCATTGTTATTAACTACAAAACTGTCAGTTTCACTGTTTTTTTTTTAAATACAATTCAATCTGTTAGTAATTAGAATGTAGGTTAAATATTACAATAATACAAGAAATAGTGAATGTTTACACTCGATCATATTAATGCCAGGTAGAAACAGGGGCAAACGAATTAGAAATTGATCTGTGATTCAGAAATTCTCTTAAAGTTACCAAGCATGATTTAATAACAATTATATTGATTTGGCAGCTAATTGATGGATTGTTAGTAGCATGTCTGTAGCTATTTGGTCATAGATAGACAACAAAGGAAGATAAAAAACAAACCATTCATCCAATCTACGATGTTACAAAAGTCTCGTGCAAATCACATAACTCGTGCAAATCATCTGCATAACTGAACGTGTTAAAAATCGTTGTTTGGGATAGTGTGAAAAATTAATTTGAGTGTTATTAAACTTCACGTCAGAGGTACCAAGTTCGGGGAATTCTCCACCTTTCTATCGAACAAAGACACACAGAGAATCGAATCGTTTCGACCTCTCATCTCAGCGCCAAGTCGGAACTCTCCCACGACCGCGTTAAGACGTGTGTGCCTCGTTGTGAGCTTGCCATAACTAACTGAGATCAGCTTTATTCACATTCCAACTGTTAGCCAATCATTACAGAGAAGTTCAAAAGCTCGAGGCGTGGCCTCCACACATATAGCCAATCACGCAAAGTATCTAACACGCCATAATGTCTGATTAATTGCCCCGATGTCGGGACATAATTCTCGCTAAAAGCGGCCCCACCTAAGGACATGAAAATATAAATCATTACATTACATTTAGTAATAATTAATAAGCACATAATTAAATTCTTGTGTACAACACAACTCGTTTCTTATAATTACAATCCAGACAGGAATGGCTAACAAAAAGATAAAAATTGTGCAAAAGTGCACTGCATTACATCGCCAATGTCATTACAGTAAAATGACAAATATTTAATAGGTTATGGGGTGAAAAGTGGAATCCGTCTTGCTGGTTGGTTGGTTTCTGAATTGTTAACATCCTACAAAATATCCACAAGACAGGTGGTTTAATTGTGTTTCATTAAAATGTTAAAACAGACCTTACTATTTCCCAAGCAAACTACTGTATCTGTGCAGGTAAAGGTTTCCATTTGTGACGTTGGGTACAGGCATAGCATTTTATACAATTTGTTTTCTTGTTAAGTTTAACCAATTGACCTGTGCAATATGACATCTGTTAACATTAATATGTACATAATAAATTTCCATGCATGTGTGATGGTTAATTTCGTCTTCTTGTGTCTTCACTAAACAAATTCCCCATCTTGTCAATACAAGGAAATTCTCGACAATAAAGCTCGCTCGTTCAATCAAACGTTCAACCAGCGCAAACTAAACGTCTTTATTCTACTACCAGCGAAAGCATATAAGGATTTAGACATAAACCCCGCCCTCTAAAGTTGCTCGATCGAGTGCACTAAGCTTCTCATCAACATTAAACCACTCAAAACCACTTCCGTTAACATGATGTATGGGGTTGTCATTCTATATATTGCAAAATACTTTATTTTAGCTGGAATTAATTTTCGCTTAAAAGACTTTTTGGGTGTTTTGTATGAAAAATATTTTCACTGATTTTTGACGAGTGTAATTTAAAATATATGAAAGAAGGTAATAAAGTATTTTACGGTATTGAACTATAACTCGTGCTAATACAGGTATTGTCAATGACCGACAAAATAATCATCACACATGTAAGGATTCGTTACTATATTAGTCTTCAGAATTCTAAAAAGTGGAACTAGTGTTAAGCTAATTATTTCACAACCAAATGAAGTACATCACTTATGGATCATGAGATTGCTGTGTGTACTCCCGTTCATGAGATATCTCAGTCATACAAATTCAGGGAATAGTGTATTGCAAAAACACAGAGGAAATGTTACATATACAGTCGTATATGTATGTTTTCATTGTGTTGAGCCTGTATTACATATATTTTATACCAATTTAATATGATTGCATTTCTACTTTTTAAATGTAAATTTAATCTTTTCGTACTCTTAATGACGATTGTCAATAATTTACTGTTATCTGTATTTTGTTTATGTTCTTTAATTATTGGATGATTTGATATATTCATATTGGATGATTTAATACATGACATTTGAATGGTTTTTTTTTTTCGTTAAGAATATTTTTATTGACCATTTATTTATTGTTTTTCTGTTTTTGTGGCAAACAAATAATTGCAATACTGGTTCTCAAGTGTAAGAACTATACAAAGTTTGAACATGAACGGTCAGAACATATCAGATTTATGGCTTCAGAGCCCGGGGGTTCAC